AGGCCCAGCTGCCTCTTATCTGCTATTATAGCAGCTCTTCCTCCTCTCCTTCAAGGCCGTTCCCTCTATCCTCTGCACATTCAGCCTGCCCTACAATGCCTAAGCTACCCTATTGTCCTTGGATTGGTGGAAGATACTAACCTACTATTAGGAGGTGGAGATGGAACTTTCAAGAGCCAATCTGTCCCCATTAGTGTCAGGAACTAACTAACTATATGAGAAGTGGGAGGAGAGAACCTTTGTTTTGGGCAACAAGCCGTCTTGGGTTGGCCTTGCTAACAGCTGGTTTCTGTTTCCATAAAACTAGAGTTGGTAGCATTTAGTCCTTGTTGAAGCAAATTTAACTCCAGCGGGGTAGCTTCCCAGGGTGATGGTATGCCTTAATAAAAGGAAATTGGAAGGTTTAACTTAATATTTCCTAGGGAAAGGGAACATGAGGCATTTGCAGAAATGTCCCCAGCTTGAAGAAACAGTATAAGGAATTAGACAAAGAATATCTCCTTGGTTGTTTTCAGTAGGAGGCATTGACTTCTCCAAGCAATTTCAATTGGCCACACAAGGCAGAGTTGCCTGAAGGCCTCATAGACTGCCTGTTAATTGATTAATTGGAAAACTGCCATTACAGATAATATTGCTTCTTTCTGTGTGAGCATACATACACATACATACATCTTTGTCCTTCCTCATATAAATAAAGTTAATATGAGTGGAAATATTCTGCTCTGTTTTCCTTTCCTGAGATCTGAATCAGAAAAAGGTCTCTTGCCCAGAGATATTAAGTTCATTTGTCTTTAAACTCCAAAGGAGTCACCATCTGTGGCCACTTGATTGAATAATAACCATCCAGTTAATCGCCACCAGAGCTGGTAATTAGTTACAGTGCTTTAACTCTTGCTGAGTGCTGAGCATGGGGGGGGGGTTGTTCCTGCCCTTAGCAGCATTACCCAGGTGGAAAGCAAATAATAATGTGCAATTCCAAAGTCTGAGTACAGGATGCAGGTTCTAACAAGAGCATCATTCTCTTCTCGCCCAGAGAAGTCTCTCCAGCTAGAAAGTGTTTGACCATTAGTTTTAGGCAGGTAACAGAAATAAAATTCTTTTTGTACCTTTGCCTGCCCAGGAAAAAAAAAATCATTTGTGGAATTTGTTATGCAAAAAATGGAGAAGAGCCCTATCTAAGAAGAGCCCTAGGTCTATCTTGTTCAGCATTGGGTGTCACACAATGGCTACTGAATGCATTTGTGCTCACAGTCCAACAAGTGGGACATCCTCCTTCCATTGTCACTTCCCATCACCAGAACTTAAGGCATGCTGCCAATGATTTGGGAGGTAATGAATAGCCATCACTATTAGGAGCCAGTAGTCTAGAATTAGTCTAAAACCATCCAGGTGGGCTGCCATTGCCAAATTATTGGTCGCAAATTCCACTATGCATTGTATAAAGAAGGATTTCCTTCTGTTTCCCTAGATGATCTTGATTCCTTATGTTGTTTTTTTACAGCAGCCACATACTGGGTTGACATTTTCAGTCTATTTTGACTCCCAGGTCACTGCTGGCTCATAAATTTAGATTTTTTTCTGTCTGTCTGTCTGCCTGCCTGCCTGCCTGCCTGCCTGCCTGCCTGCCTGCCTGCTTGCCTGCCTGTTGGGTGCCAATATGCTTCAGCTTACACTTGTTTACACTGAACGCCTTTCAAAGTTACTGCTGCAGGATGGGCAGCTGTATAAAGAACTTAAATAAATAAATAAACTGCACAGAGATAGAGCAGATGTAATATTTTTACAAGAGACACATCAGGTGAAAGAGGATGTAAATGAACTTAAGATGGTCGGCAGTTTATGAAAAGGCATATGGGACCTCCAAAGCAAGAGGAGTGGCGATTATAATATCAAAGAAATGCAGTTTCAATGTAATAAAGATAAACTGCATTGTTGTAACAATGAAAATCATCATCATCATCATCACCATCATCATCTCCCCCTCCTCTCTTATGTTGTCATATGTGACTGTGTTGGGCATTCTGTATAGCTCTGTGTGTGTGTGTGTGTGTGCGCGCGCACATGCACGGGTTAAGTCTGTGTGAATGCCTACAGCATCTAAGGAAATTTTCTATGCTAGAAAGCAGACCTCTGCCTTGTACCCAAATAAGGGGACTGAAAGCTGTGCAGCAGAGTGTGTTATCCCAGGCAGTTTCTCGGAAAGTCAGGGCTGGGATTAAGAGGGGTAAGCAATGCCATCATGTACTTTCTGCCAGTTGGCAGCAAAACTTAGATTGGAGAGAGACACCTTTGGGTCAGAATTCTCTTTCTCAAGGAACCTTTTAAACTGAAATGATAACAAGAAGAATAGAAGATTTTTTTTGCTCTGTTTTGTTTTCCCCTTATTTTCTACCTCCTGTTCGCATCCAACCTTAGGATG